CCTCTTTCTTCTGTTCCCGATCCTTCATCTGTTTTCACAGCTTCTGCTCTGCTCAGAACTCTTTCCTTTCTCTCAGACCATTTATCACAAACTCTAGTCAGAGTCAACCCAGTCACTTAATTTTCCAGCACGTCCACCCACCCACCCACGGCTCCTGTGCCCACTCCTGTCTCTTTGCCCCTGCCAGGGAAGTGGAGAGGACCCTCTGATGAGTGAAACTACTCTCTTGTTCCTTGGGTTTGTTTCTCTGGGCAATGTCTCCTTTACTGTCTTCTGCCTTGCTCCTCTCCTGTCACGGGGTGCCTACACTGACCTCTCTTTTATGACACATTCTCACCTCCTATGTCCTCAGGCATAGGCTGCAACTCTCCTTAGTCTCTTACTCTGGCTTTTGGTTTGCACCCTGTAGTCAGTCTCAGGCTGAGGGCCTGCCTGTCACCATCTGTCATCCTCCTCCTTGTCTCTTTCGGTGTTCTGTGCTTGCAAGGTCACCCCTGAGAGGCTCATGGCATCCTGAACACAGTCTTCTGATAACTATTGCTTCTTAGCCAGTCTATTCATTTGGTCATCTTCTTATTCAGCTGGCCTCTCAGTGTGCTGACAGGCATTGGCTACAGGACGGGCTGAGGATGGGGTATGAGAAATGTGATGGGAAATCATATAAGTACAAATTAGGCGGGTATCAATAGATTAGTGGATAAATAAAACATATATCTAAAAAAAAGAAAGCATCTATCATCTGTGTTCTATATATGTATGTATGTATGTATCTATCTGTCATCTATCTATCTATCTATCTATCTATCTATCAATCATCTATCATCTGTCTATCTTACTACGATGGCATAGTATTCAAACATAAAGAACTAAATTATGTCACTTGCAATAAAATGGACAGACCTGGGTATCGTTATATTAAAGGAAATGAACTAGACCCAGGAAGACAAGTACTGGGTGTTTTCTCTCTTTTACAATCAAAGCATAAGATATACATATGTAAAAATATTAAAAAAGACAAAAATCCTAGAAAGAACATCTATGTGTAATTTGATATTAAATAAAACTTGTGAGTATGGTGACTTCTTTGGAACAAAAGTGACACCTCAATGATTTGTCTTTGCATTGTAGAACTGTCTTTGATATTTTTTCATTCAAGTTGAATAAACATCACATAGAGGATTCTGGAAGCTCAATTGAAATTACAAATGCTCTACAAGCCCATAGGGGCCCAAACTGGGGAGCAGGAGACTCTTGAGAGGAGAAAGCATGCCCCCAAGGACCAGGAAAGAACAGCCAAGGGTGTCCAAATGAGGACTGGCAGGGGCAGCACGTGCTGGAGCTAGGCAGGGCTGGACGCACTCTTAGGTCCTTTTCAATACGTGGGATTTAGGTCCTGCTACTGTGGGAGGACTCCTCTCCCACACCTAGAACAAGTTGTAACCTGCTTGGCTGTTTTAAAGCTTAAAGAAGAGTGAGGGCGCTCAGACACAGAGTTGCTATTAAACGATAACTAGTATTATTATCATAAATACTTTACACTTTTAACACATATTTATAGCCATTACAACAGGTCACAGTTTTCAGGCTTTTGTGAAGAATAACTAATGTGAAAGACCTGTAAGAAAGTGTAAGCACAAATTTATTCAGTCATAAAAAGCAATGACGTTCTGATACACGCTATAACATAAATACGCTTTTAAGACAACATACTCAATGAAATAAACCAGGCACCAAGAACAAATACTTCATCATTCTCTTTATCTGAGATGCTTAGAGAAGACAAATTCATAGAGACGGAGCAGCAGATTAGAGGGTAGGGGAGTGGAAGTCTGCTGTTCCAGTTTGTACGACAGAAGGCTTTGAAGTTAGTTACTCACTGCTACGGCTTGGATATCAAGGGCCCCAGAGGCTCCTGTGCTAAAGGCCGGGTCTCCAGCTGGCGATGCTGGGGAGGGGTTGGGATCAGGAGGGAGTCATCTTGGAGTCAGCCCTTCCAGGTTCACAGCTGAACAGGCTGCTGGGAAGCGGCTCCGAGTGGGGTCAAAGGTGCCGCTGCCGGCCTGCCGTGGAGGGCGCATTGTGTCCTGACCTGTTTCCCCTCCCTGCTGGCTGCACCCAAAGGTTAGAGGCTTTCTCCTGCCATATTTTTGCACCCTGACCCTGCCTTGTCACTGGCCTAAGAGCAACTGAACCAGCCGAAACTAAAAGCTCTGAAACCGGGAGCCCAAATAGATCTTTCCATTGAAGCAGGTTTGTCATAGTGACAGAAAACTGTGAGGGCACAACGTTGTAAATGTATTTAAATTTAAGCACAACAGAAAAGAAATGCTAGGCTCAAGTGTCATTTTCAATAAAAACAATACCAGGAACACTTAGAGTAAGATAAGACATTCATTGCTGATATCTAAAAACGTATTTATGGAGTTTTTCTAGATCGATACCATAACCATCCAAAACTCAGACAGCTGAACCTTCCACACAAACAAGTCTACAATTTTATCTTATTTTTGACATGTATTAGATCTGAGATGGACTCATTTTTACCATGCGCTCTGTCATGTACCTGTGTTTAAGAATTTAGAGGACGATGATGATATAAAAATGTATATACGATATGCTCGCACTAAGACAAGTTTAGCATTCATTTTCATTTCGGACATTTAGTTATTTATTTGTGTGTGTGTGTGTGTGTGTGTCTATACATGCCAGGGCATGTGTGTGGAGGTCAGAGGAAGGACAACCTGTAGGAGCTGGTTCCCTTTCTACCACGTGTCCTAGGGTTAAACTGAAGCCATCGGACTTGGCAGCAAGTGTTTACCTGCTGGACCATCTTGTCAGCCCAACAAGTTCAGAATTTACAAATCTGAGTTCAATATCTAGGACCCATCTGGAGGTAGGAGAGAACTGGTTTTCATAGATTAGCCGCTGACCTTCACGTATACAGCATGGTGCAGGTGTACGTACGCACGAGAGCATGCGCGCGCATGAACGCGCGCATGCGCGCGCGCGCGCACACACACACACACACACACACACACACACACACACACACACACACACGTGCGC